GCAGAAATTGCAGTCCCTGTCCAATGGGCCTTGGCTTGCCAGTGTGTCCAACTTCCCCATGCCAACACCTGCAGTTCTCCTCCCAAAAACTGTCTTGGAAGTCGAAGAAGGCTCTTCTGCCCATGCACAAGGCCAGCTTAACGTGCCTGGAAAGTAACCCTCTTTCCCTCGTCCTCCTTCAACCCATAGCTGGCAGGAGTTGGTATTTAAATATTGCAGGTTCTTTTTTGGAGGGGGATCAGCCTGAGGGGTGTAAAACACACCCCTGCTTACTTAGTTTCCCCAAGGGATGGAACTCAGGTAGCCCACAGGGACAGCTGGCTTGACAACAAATGCTGTCATACTTCCTCCTCCTCTGCTTGTGGGTCTGAATCTCCCCAACAAATCAATTACCCTCAAATCGTGGTCTCACTGTCCGCTGTGGAGACTAACAATTTAAGACCATTGAGAATCTCGTTGTTTTTTCCAATTTTTGCTCCTGAAATAAAACATGTTCATTCTGTGTGGTGTAGTAGACATCAATGGATTTCTTTTGTTATAATTCTGGAGAGGACAGTTGCACTTATATTCATGAGGTAGGTTAGTCTGTAATTGCCCTTTCTCATTGTCATTGTTAAGTTCGCTAGCAAGGTCATGCTCGTCTCATTAAATGGGTTGTAGACGATGCCATATTTCTATTCACTGAATAATATGGGAAAGACTGGAATTGTTACCTCTTTGCATGTTTCCAGGTAAGCTTGAAGCCATCTCGGTCCTACATTTTTTATAGTTTCCCCCATCCCCGTAGTGTGTATGGAAGTTATCAAGGCCTCCAGGGGGCTGTTTCATTATGATCTGCAGGTCCTGTCAGCTTGATGCCATCTGCAGGCTGCCCGAGGGCTAGTGGGGAAGACTACATCATGAGTCAGACTTAGAAGGTCAACAGAGATTTCTGGTAAGATGGCAGAGGGATACTTTCATCCCTGCCAGGTAAAAAAAATCTTTTTATTTATTCTAATTGCAACAAAGTAGAACACTACCCAGTTACTAACTGCATGACGCGTACCGGGAGCTCTGCTGATTTGCTCCAGTGAGCAGCTACGATTGCTCTCAGCTCCTCATTATGCTGTGGTAACCCAGAAGCCATGCAGGTGAGCTCAGCTGGCTTTTGTATGACCAAAGAAAGAGGTAAATGCTTCATCTGTGACTTTAATAGTGTCACCTATTTGTCATTGTTTTTTATTGACTGCTTGGGTAAAGAGAAAGTCAAAGTTCCTTCAAAAACTTATAGTCATTACTTTATGAGGCAGAAAACCAATATAGAGGTTTTTTCCCCCCCATTGCTGAAGGTATACAGTTCAACCGTGCTTTTAGGAGTTGGGGGAATAATTGCAGGTGGGTATAGAGGCCTCCATGGGCAGACAATAGATTTTGGGATTATTGTATTCATCATCTGCTCACTAGGTCTTGGACTGATGCGCCCCAGAGACCCAGGGCATGGTGTTAATGCTGAGACACTGACCAGTGTAGCACAGTATGGTCTGGGCAGCCTCCTGCTTCCATGCAAGGCTGCTCTCCAAACGTCTCCGGTCCCTTTGAAGATGCTGAGAATGATGTTCTCAGCATGCATGTGAAATATTATTGTTGAGGCCAATGATCCCTTCAATGAATCTGGCTCTGGTGATAGGTTTTGATGAAGAATGTGACCTTACTGCACTGGCCCAAAACTCTGTTTGCAAGAAATGGAGGGTTTTCCTTATGAGGGTATCACCCAAATCAGGTGTGGCTTCCCGAAGGGTTTCCTCACTGGAGTTCCCACAATCCATCTGCTCTTCCTGACTGGGTCAGATGATCCTGCTGGCCTGCCTGGTTCCCACCCCTGCCTTTCCTCCAGGGATTAAATATCGCCACCCAAAGTCTGCCATCGGTTCCCTGGTGTCTGGGGACTGCTGGGGTGCTACATGCTGCTCTCCAGGGGCTTCTCAAGGCTTTGAGGAAGGAAATGTCCTCTGGAGGGACTTCTCATTTATTAAGCAGGGTGGAACTATTGCAAACACATAGGAAGGGGTTCAGATGGTGATAAGTCTAAAATCAGAAGATAGAACCCCAAAAGAGAACACCCAGACCACAGCACAGGGATCCCCCTCCTATCCCAACGCCCGTCGTGCCCCTTTAGTGGGGGATGGAGAAGGCACACCTCTCACTTCCTGGGATCATCTCTGACTTCCTGGTTTTAAGAAACATAGTAAGAGTTTAGAACTCAGATTATTGTTTTATATTATATGCTGTCATTTAATTATTCTTGCCATTTGTATTACATTTTGGGATAAAATACAACTATGATTTTTTTTTCAAATTTTGGGTTGTAAGACCAATTTAATGATTTGGGACAAGTTTTAACAAAACAAAGCAGAAAATATTAGAGTGCATTTCATAGCATGCACAAAATAAGGATGAATATTGTTTTGTGAAACTTTGGTTTCTTTTCATATGCAGTGAAATACAATAAAATATCCAGTAATTCTTTACATTGAATACAATCTCTTATGGTACACAGTTTATATTATGCCTGTTTAGTTTTGAAATTGAATTTGACTCCTGTCTGATTTGAAGTATGTAGGTAAGCATAGCTTTCAAGAAGAGTAGATACTATATACTATTTTTTAATGAGCCTGGGGTATCTCAGAATAGTTTTGTTTATTTTAACAATGACAATCTAATTTAACACAGTATAAAATAATATTTCCCCACTGTACTTTTTAATCCATTGTCTTTTGGAAAACTCTAAGGTCTTTCTGGTTTTTTGATCATTTTTTTCTGTGTACCTGTAGAGTTCTTTCCTCCTCCTTCCATCTTATTACAATATTTTACCAAACGAGTGTCTAGGAGTGAAATCTCTTTATTTTCAATCTGTCTATGCTTTCAATTGGCATACTCCTGTTTTTATTTCAAACGACATTTATAATCGTAAGTAGTTCAGTCCTACGTTAAAAGTAGTTCCACTAACCTTTCTGCCTTTCCATTTCCTCCTCAAAATTAGCAATGGTAAAATAGCATTAAAATATGAAGTCAAATTCCCTCCTGCCTAATAGACCGGGCAGTTCCAGACTGAACTATTTGAATGATACAATGTTCTTTGCAAAAGAGTCTTGTTTACAAGCTCAACTATACGCAGTAAGAAGTTGACTCCAGAGAGAGCCCGCGCCCTAGCTCAGGATACGAGCCCACAGCGGACCTGCAGGAAGGGTCCCATCCCGCCGTCCTTGGTGCTGCCTTGTCTGGCTTTCCCTGTCTGATCCTTTCTTCTGCCCTTCTCCCCTCAGGTATTGGGTGACTATCCTTGCTGCGGTCGGTAAGCCCGGCTACACAGGCTTTGCCATAGGAGTTTTGCACAAGCCTGGAAACCTCTTCCTCCAGGCGCCCTGCTGCTTTGCTACTTGTCCTTCAAGTTTTCCTTCAATGTGGCCTTTGCGGAGCAGCATCTCCTGACCTCTTACAGTCACACTCCTTCATATCGTCCTACTGGGTTTTCTTCTTAGAATTTATTGCTGTCATGGGCTCACTCTGTCTCCACCTTGGTGTAGGAAAGGACCCTATCTACTTCATCAATCAAACTATAAAGTCTATGACACTTCCTGAATGCTAGACTGCTCCCCTAATTAGTGAGAGGTTATGTAATTAAAATTATTTGGGTTGTACATTTGAAATTATGTGCACACTTATTTTGTAGCTTCATAGTCTTAATCCCCAAGATGCAATCATCAGAGCCTATGTATTATTTAAGACAGAAATTATATTTCCTTTTGTGATTATTTTTCTACAGAAACTACCAAGTTATATTTAATATTTTATCTTTTATATAGTATCAATGGTAGCTGCATATATTTTGTAAAATTATACATTTAGCATTAGTTCCAAAAATATAAAGACACTTAAAAATATATGTTTTTTTGCCAAATATACATACACACTATTTCCCTAAATATGTCTTATTTCCAAAACTTTAAGGTAAACTAATTCAAAATTATAATAGGTCCTTTCAGGTGCTTAAAACCATCTAAGTATTCTTGTGGGCAAGCAGATCATAATTTAATTGTTTTCAGAATCAATGACTGTGAATGGCCATCTCCAAACAAATACACACACAGAAATATGCATACAGTTCCAGTGGGCTCATGGCCTCCCCAACCTCACTTACAACTCAGATTAAGCATTTTGGATTTGGATGGTTCTGTTATCCTATGTCATCCTCAAGTGTTTTCAGTGCATTGTTTCATTTGTAAGCAACTTGTAAGTTTTTAAGAAAGAGCCAAAGTGCTTGACTTGAATTCAGGTAAGCAATGTCAACTTCTTAATGGTTTCCTCTTTTTGAAAAGCATTGCATAACCTGGGAGACCAAGGGTGAGGAAGTCAGGTAACTTATTTCCAGTCTTTACTTGTTTGTATGGTCCTCTTTGCATACTGATAGTCCCAGAGGGATGCAATATATGGTGGAAAGGACTAGCTGACCTCCTTAATTTGTTATAGATTCTATTCCAGTTTTAAGGTTCCACATAAACTTGTGAGTCTGGAGAAACAGTGTCCCGTGGTTTTTTTTCCCAAGAGGCTGGTGAGTCAGACTCTTGGTAGCATATTGACAAAAGTGTCTTGTTCTGGGCACTAATACAATGAGTCTAATGAGCTTGTCCCAAGCTAACACATCCTTTACTTCCAGCAAGCAAGTGATAAAGATACACATGTATGTTGCCATAGAATTGACTAATCTTATGGCCCAAATTTTGGATAAAAGTATATTACATGGTAGATTTTCTCAACCTGATGGAATTTGAACCAGTATAGTATACTAATTTATGGTCAAATGCATGTGATCGTTAAAGCCCAGATAGACTTAATAGATAATAGTTATCTTACCATTCTCTTATGCATTGCATGTTTTAAACTTTGAAGGAAAATAAATTTCTAAGTATAAAATACTGCAATCAAATCCTTTATTTATTTTTCTCATTAGGCTGAAATAATAACCAAATGAACAAGAAAAGTGTCAATAAAAGATTTAGCATGAAACATTAATTCTCAGAAGATAATGTCAAGAATATTATGAAAATATGCACATTGCCTATAATCAAGTTGCAGAAAATCGATGCATTTACCTTTGAAAAGCAGAGGTATTCATTGCCTTCAAGCTTCAGGTTAGGACCTTAGGCTGGAAGATGATGGTCTCCTGGGTTTGTTATGAAAGAAAATGGAAGGATCTCTCTGGAAGGGAAACGTAGGTCATTTCTGTCTCAACCCACATCGATTCCATAGTGACTATGGAAGACACGCAAAGTTCTGTCCCATCATTCTTTGCCAGAGGAGAGCACAGGTTCTATAGAAAATAGCCTGAATTGTCATAAAACCCAAAATAAGAATGGAACATGTAAAATTATAATCCACTTAACTAGCGGACACTGAGTGCATGATCTTCTTCAATCAGAAATTTGCAATCGTCTTTTGCATATTCTATTTAGCCAACAACCACATTTTCATTTTTAATCAGGAGACATTAAGATGTAATTAGGAGCAAATAACAGAATGACAAAGCTACAAAAAAAAACAAAAACCAAAATGCATCAAGGTCCCAGGAAGCACACGTTTAGCTAGCCACAGCAAGAAGCACTTGTCCATGAATCCAGGGAATCATGGCGGCCTCTTCACCTTCCCCAAGTTCACCTCCAAGGCCAATTCTCTAGGAGCATTGCTGCTCTTTGACGGTGATGATGGTGATAATGATATGAAGGTTGTGGTCAAAACCAGAGAGGGTGCATTCCTTAGAGTCAAGAGACCCTCGAACCTCAACAGACGTCATATAGAAAGAAACGTAGCAAATTCCAACAAGCATACACACAACAGAATTAATTCATTTATCAGAGACCAATACAATTTTGAATACGCATTTTCCAGAAAGAAGCATGGGCCAACAGAGACCACCCGCAGCTGCCAAACCTGTGGAAGTGAAATGATGCATTACAAAATTCCCACAACATACGAGTCATAGGTGAGAAACGAATGGTTTATCAAAAAAAAGTTGGCCGATGACCCAACATATAGATATTTATATGTATATATTTATATATATAATGATAAAAATCAGCTTGCATGAAGGTCATAGTCTATCTACTTTGAAGTTATATCACACATACTATAAGCAATTTACAGAATTTGTCAGATTTGCATATACAGGAATTGCAAAATGAATTAAAATACATTGAAATATAGAACACTCAAAATGTATTTCTATAAACCTCCCAGGATTGACAGGGATTGGCCGTAATCAGCACTTGCCACCATTGAACAGGAACTACAATCAAGAAAAAGGAGGAAAATCCAAGAAAAAGGAAAAATTAGAAAAAAAATTCTCTCTTTCATTCTTTCTTATTTAAAATAATGTTCTCCTTGTTGCCTCGTAGTGTTGGTAATTTTGTTGTTGCCCCCCCAAACCGGGGTTTCATCTGGTGATATTTTATGTTCTGTAGTCTTTTCCCTTCCATTTGCTTCCTGCAGACAATGGGTCTTTTGGTAGGAAATCTGTGGTATCCATAGTAAGTATTTACTATCCCGATGACGTTCAGGCCAACCCCTGAGATGATTAAATAGCCAGAAGAAAAGGGAAAAAATAGATCTTGCTATTGGAAAATGTCCTATCGCTTCACACTAATTCTCTCCAAACAAAAGATCAATGATTTGCCCAAGAACACATTATGAACAAAGCGTGTGAAAGCCTCTTCGTTTATGCTTCCGGAAGCAGGCGCTCCTTGGGTAGGCAATTAGACTACAGTGGGTGCGGAGTGGTGCTTGGAGTTTAGGGTCAACTTTGCTGTCCGCTCCGTAGATTTTACAGGCGATTTGCTCTTTGCTTTAAGAAGAGAAAGTGATATTGGAAAAAAGTCAGCACTTTAGATTAAAGCAAAGCACCCTTCACAAAGCCACAAACAAGAAGCAGGACAGAAAGTCCATGGCTTGTAGCTATCCTGGCACCTGCGGAAGAAGTTATAAGATATTCGCTCATCTTGAAGATTTCCAACGCTCCTTATCAGGCTGTTTAAACACATACACATACATATTTAATTAGCTCGCCAGCTTGGCTCTGGTGCCCATGAATGTCTTGGCATGCACTGTAAATGACAACACATACAAAGCATTTCAGTCCCGGGCAATCGGTCGTGCTTGTGTTTTCAAACAACGCCTTTCCACAGTGGGGACACGCGGAGGAACAGATCCGGAACAGCTTCCTTCCTGCCCTTCTCTGGGGTCCTTCTCTATGGTCATGGGGCTGTTCCTCTACCGGTGCCTACAATACCAATGTGCCCTGCTCTCCTGTGGCTTAAGCCTGAAACCGCAGGAGCTGCCACCCAAACCGAGAGCAACAGCGTCTGGTGGGCGGGGCCTGTGTTCGGGGATGGGCTCGTGTGGGCGTTTTCTTTTCCTGGGAGATCTTTCTCAATGTTACCCTTGAAATCGGAGGGAAACAGTTAGTGCTATCAAGAACTGACAATTTTTGAAAGACCTTCGAGACCTCGTAAGGGAGACAAGTCCATTGTACTTTTGCAATTTTTCTTGATGCATTTTATCTAAAAGCTTCTAGTTACAAATGATGTATCAGGTATTGTTACTAGTAAGAAAACAAGAATGTAATTGGGCTCAAAGCATTTTTCTCTTTATTCCTTTTTAATTGGAGAAAGATTAAAAGGGTTTGGGGGGTAAGGGCAGAGAAATTCAACGTCTTGCGTATTGCAGCCAAATCGTGTGTACGTCCACACTGGCAATGACAGCAAAGCAGGCACAAGTACAGGGCTGTCACAAAGTGGCTGCCGTAGCACCGTGGGGGGCTTGCTTCTCCCATGACCGTGTGGTTGCCTCCCCTGGCTGCTTTGCTGTCAGGTCACTTTAGTGCGGTCACAGACTCACCCCTGTTGGGTAGGGGAGCCACGTGGTAAACGCAGGATGTCCTCAGAGAAACCTAACGCCTGAGCGCCCAGTGATGGGTCTCTGGAGAGTGCTCCCTCTCTCAAACTGGGTGCTAAAGGTCAAAAATGCAAGAGCGGCAGTACAGTCCCTGTGAAACTCTAAGAACAAAGATGGTGTGGGGGAAACAAATACGATCTATGAAGAACCACTAGCACCAGAGTTTTCCAAAATTAAATATGTGTTCTTGGTATCCTTGGCAGAGAGATGCTTTGACAGGGACTCATTTTTTGAGAAAAAAAAGAGGGATGATTGATTACCTGGCTCCTTAAATCATTAATGGCACTTGACACAATGTCTGATATTGAATAGAAGTTAAAAAATGCTGACAGCAACACTCCTAAGTAAAATGGTTCACTCTTTAGAGAAGATAGTTTGTGAAATCGTGGTTTCCTTTTTAGCACGGGCATTGCAAATCGGCTCAAGTGGACTGAAACAGTGTATTAGTCTCCCCTTTCTAAAGGGATCGCCCAGGACAGAAAGCACCTGGCCCCTCATTCCTATGAGATATAAGGGAACAGCCGCCACATTTGACTGCCACTTCCATCCCCAGTATGTCCAGCATGTGCAAGTTAAAGCAAAATTTGCATTGACACTGTAATTGCGAAGAAATGTAACTATGCACTGAAGAGAGTATTTGAAGGCTACTCAAACTCTGAACTGCCACGTTACAGCCAATGTACCATTATAACACAGTACTCCCCTCCCCCACATTATTCATCCATTCTAGGCACATGCATTTTCTAGCATATTTTTAATTAAATGACATTTATTTCTTTCAGGCCAATGACAAAGTTTTTCTTTCCTGCACAGTAAATTCTGAAGCAAATCACCAATCGTTTTATAGTTTATGCCTTGAACAAAGAGTTATGTACTTTATCTTTGTAATCTCAAAGACCACCTAGTGAAATCTGAGAATCTAAAATACTATAATCTGTCTTGTGTAAGTGTCACAAATACTCATCATAGTCAATTTCATTAAGAGGTACACTATCCTGAATATAACATTATTTACTCTTATAAGTACACACATCGCTTATCAAACATGCTATGGTGTATTCTATAGACAGTCAGAAATTTTTCTTGGAAAAAGACTTGGGCCACTCACTCAGCCTTACTCGCACTGTGAGAGCAGGGACATGCCATTCACACTGTCATGAACCTATGAGAGCCAGGGCTGCGGTCAGGAGCCCTGGGCTCTAACTGTGTCTGCCACCATGTACCCCTAAGATCTCAAATATAGCACTTATTTCTTCCATGGTTTCTAAGAGGAGCATAGTAACTATTCATGTATTTTTCCATATTAGTATGCCAGACCTTGTGTTGGACTAGATAGAATCAAAACTTTCTCTCCTTCCTTCCTTCCTTCCTTCCTTCCTTCCTTCCTTCCCTCCTTCCTTCCCTCCTTCCCTCCCTCCCTCCCTCCCTCCCTCCCTCCCTCCCTCCCTCCCTCCCTCCTTCCTTCCTTCCTTCCTTCCTTCCTTCCTTCCTTCCTTCCTTCCTTCCTTCCTTCCTTCCTTCCTTCCTTCCTTCCTCTATGCCCAGTGCAAGCAGGATAAGCTCTTTACTCCCTAACATGACCAAGCAACTCTTGCCCTCCAATAACCTGCTGTCCACTGTGTCTGTCCCCACCCACTCCTTGTAAACCCCTCTCGCCCCTGAACCTCAGCGGTGTTTTGGTTTTGCCTTTCCTATGGTCATGGCATGGCTTATACGGGCCTGTGAGTCATTATAGTCCTATCTCATCTCACTGACTACCCTATAAGCTCCTTAAAGCCAAGGGCTGAAGTTTTAGCAATTGTTTTTCACCACTCTCAATGTCTAAAACAATGCCTTGGGAGCTTTTAAATGTTTACTCCCAACACAAAATACTCTGCTGAGGAAGGAAGAGAGATGCCTCTCTGTAAGTCCCGTGATGGACCCAGACAGGGAGCGAGCGTCGGCGACGAGCCCAGACAGAATCCAGAGGTTTCTCTCCGCTCGGAAGGCCCTTTTGTGACCTCCTTCGACTTCTATGCAAAAAAGATGCTTTTCAATTGATTTCATGCTTAAATGTTTACATGATGCTCTCTCCAGGGTCATTCCTTGGAAGACAGGGGAGCATTTCCTTGGTTTTGCGAGTGGAGAAGTCTAGGAGTCTTCTAAGTCCAAGGAGCGTGGACACTTAGCTTCCAGTTTTCAGCCCTTTTTGCCCTGCATGCAACAGCCAGTCCCATCACCTTCCCTGCGATGAGGGCGTGCGAGTGTTCATTTCCGCAGAGGGTGCCCGTGACAGTGAGAGTTGGGCCAAGGAGAACTATGAAAAAATCTCAGGTACTTCATCTTCACTATAATGATTATTTTAGAGAGCAACAGAAAATTCCATCGATTTCTTTAAAACAAAACAGAACAAACAAGCAAAAAAAATGACAACTCAGTCATGCATGGCATGGTGTCCTTAGCAAGAAGGGGGAAATGACACACAGTTACTCCACCATCGCGATTGTCATTGTCATTGAGGGCCCAGCCCCCACCTCCACGCCTGGTTGAACTCAGCACAGCATCCGGGACTGGTACGCCCACCTTGAGCCCCTGGATCTGCGGTCCTGAGGCCGGCATGGGGCAGGCTTGTTTAATAAACGCTGCGCCCCTCTTCTTGCTCTTGTCAGTCTCCAAAAGCATGAAACGGGACTGGGCATCTGCTACATGCCAGGGAAGGTGCCGCAGGCACTTCGCATGCGTTGTGTCAGGCGTCTCCAACACCCTGTTACACTGCAGATCAGGAGCATCTAACTCAGTGACATGGGGTAATGTCCCCCAGGTCCCATGGGTGACCGGCAGTAAGGCAAAAGTGCAGAAATGAAGAAACATCGATGCCGCGAGGACACCTGGGATGCAGGTGAGCTCCTTTCTGGAACTCCTGGGACAAGTGCCCTGCCCGCCCTGTCTCCACATCTGTTAAATGGGGATGGGGAGCCATGGCCGAAAGGCACACTAATCTTTTCAGGGGCAATGCAGTGCTATACCATGCTGGAGTGAAAAAACTTGTTGGTAGAACACTTCTTTCTCCAACTCTGAGCTGATAAATACTGAATATGAAAACATCAGCCTCTTAATTGTCTTGGACATTAATAATAAAGTTTGTTTTGCTCCATGTGGTGTACTAAATGTCTTACAATAATATTTTGAACTTTTCATATTACAGACTTTTAGAATTTAAACTTTCCTTCAAATTCATTTAAATAGTTGGGTGAGAGGTGGCTTCACCATTATTCGTAGATGTTGTCTTCTTTCTAAGAGCTTCTCTTTTCCCAGCTTTTTATTCTGATTTGAAAGACTGGGACCCTTGATCAAGCTGGTTGATTGTTCACAGGGCCACTCTCAGTTAATGGCGGGCACGGACAACCAGAGTGCTGGTCTACCAAGAGAGATCATCAGAGAGGGTGTGAGTGCTAAATTCAAAGGGCCGAGCGCTGAGGCACAATCTAGAGAGTTGACCCCCTGCCCCCAACGTTGACCAGCTCTTCCAATGCCCACTCTCTCTGGGGAGTGACTCTTGGATGGGTGAACTTCCTGTGTGAGGACAACTCCCAGTTGTGGTTTAGATCACACCGGGGACGGTCACAATTCAGGGTCCCTGTCTGTAGATTTGGGTGCTGTTCCCCATATGCTCTTCTCTTCTTTTTTTGGTTTGAATATCTAGCAGAATCAAAAGAAGTTAAGAAGAAGAGAAAGAAAACAATTTCTTTCCCGCCGAGGCTTAGCGGTCTGACTCCAGATCCTGTATTTTGTAAATGTGACTATTAGTGGTACTTTTCATACAAACAGACCAAAAAACGGATGTCCTCCAGTAACAAAAGAAGCAACAGTCTGATGATTTTATTTTTGTCTGGGAAGAGGCCCAGCTGAAAA